TCCAGCACTCAGGAGGGTCAGGTAGAATTGCCAGCGAGTTCAAGGCCAGCCTGGACTACATGGCAGAGCTCTATCTCAAAAAACGAAAAACAAACAAAATACCTGAGATTTTAGTTAGGCATTCACAACATGCCTGTAATCATAGCTACCTGGGAGATAGAGGCAGAAAGATAACATGTTTAAGGTAGGCCTGGGCAACTTTGCAAGAACCTGTCAAAAAAGGGAGGCGGGGGAAGGCTAGGTATGTAGTTCAGCTCAGTGAACCACAGGCTCAATCCCCCCTCCCAGGGGAGGTGGGCGGGAAGAAGAAGGTAAGGCAGGAGACAAGGAGGGAGAAGGAAGAAGTAAAAGGAAGAATGAAGAAAAACTAGAAATTGCTTAGTGCAAAAGTATATGGGAACATTTATAAAAGCTGTTACCATCTGGGAGGGAGACTTTGACAGGGTCTACAGTCAAGTAAGTGATACTTTCATCCCTTAAGAATGCATATAAATTAACCTCCTATAATAAAATAAATGCACCTAGTTAATTCTGATTATTTCTCAAATATATTAGAACAGAGAACCTTTGTATTATGACATTATTTGTATATAATGATAATTTTTTCAGAAATGCTGCTCTGTCACATAAATATTTCAATTTGAACAGTGAATCAATCAATAACCATAATCCATTTTAGTGCATTAAAATTAATAAGTAACACATCTCAAATATTTTTATATTTCATTACAGAATATTAAGTACAAAATCCCATCTTTTCATTATAAGCCATGCCGATGCGGAAATGGTGAACTGCTACAATGACATTATCATAGTACTGAGAGCAGAGTAGAGCAATTACAAATACTTTGGAATACATTAAAGAGGATGAGGAGACTATCAATACAGAAAAGGAGTGAAATCACTAAGTTATCTTTAGTCTTTTAAAGGACACTACACAACTAGTTGAAGTGGTCCTTTCAAAATGAGTAAGTTGATTCTACATCACTGTCTTCAGGTCCCTGAAATGATGACACCTGATGTGTTGCTGGAGCTGCTCTGCCAGGAGTCACAGCAGCTCCTGCATCTCTGGAGGCTGTACTGTGCAATTCTTTTCATTCCTCTGTCATTAGATACCATACTCTGAATACCACAACGGTATGTCAAAAGGAGTAGTAAAGGAGTTTTTAGTCTACTAAAATAGTGTCATGCCTCACTCCTGTAATTTTAGCACTCAAGAAGCTGAGGCAGGAGAACTGATGGGAGTTTGAGGCTAGCCTTGGCTACACACTGAGCTCATGATCCTGTCTCAAAAAACAAAACAAAACAAACAACTGCTCTTTTCTTAAAGATTTTATTTAAGGAGAAAAAGAAAAAAAAACAGAAAAAGGATACAAGTTATACAGAATTTCAAAAAAATAAACAGTAAGAAATCACTAGCTAATAGATTACATATTGTCATCTTAGAAATTGTTGTTCAAGTTACAGAATTTAAAGCATATAAAGTGGACATCAAACAGTGACACTGGAAACAGTTCTGTTCAATGATCCAACAAAAACTCAGTAATATGGTTATCGATCTTACACGCTTAAATATACATACAGTTATATCCTTTAGAGCACTTTCTTTTCCTCTATTTTTTACAATGACAATTACACATTTTGGGTTTTATTACTCCCATAGTTCTTATTACTTTTTTTTTGAAGAGAATAAAACCAAATGTGACATAACAAAACACAGTCAGTCAAATCAAAAGGATGGACATAGTACATAATGTAAAAACAGAATACAAAGTGATCAACAATGGTTACCATAATGCCTCTTGCTATCTTAAAAAGGATTGCCTATATCATGTTATAATAAAATTGAGCAAAACAGTAAAGAACAAAACCAATAAAAACAAAACATTGGAGACATTACAGGACTTCAAAATAAGATAATAGTCAAACCAGAATGGGCATCATAGTGAATCTTATTGTCTTCACAGTTTTTGCCTATACTCTCAAACTTGGTACTATCAAGCAAAACAGAATAGAGTAAAATCAGTCAAAACAAGATGGTGAGAGCAATACAGGGTTTCAAATCAAGTTAATAGGAAATTAAAGTGGGTTACTATAATGTATCCTGCTATTTTTTTATTTATTTTTCCCTTAAGAATATAAAAATTAAAAAAAATAAATAAAGGAGATTGAAATAAAAGTGGACATAACAACAAAACAGCACAGGTCAGAACATAACCATTTTAGCAAAATAGTGTTTCACCACAAGATAATCCCAACATAAAAGTAGTTACCATAGTGTCTCTTTCCTTGAAATCTTTGAGTATAACTTCGTATACTGTAGCATCAAACATATCAAGACAATGTAAAACCATTCAAGAGAATGATAGAATTACAGGGTATTTAGAACCAACTAACAGAAAATGAACAATAGTTTCTGTATTATCTCCTTGTCTATAAAAGTTTTTGTTTATATTATCACATATAATAAAATCCAATAAGATACAACATGTTAAGACCGAAGGAGATAGAAGAACAAAGGCTTGATGGGACTTTAACACAAGATGATATTGAATCAGCACTAGCTATTATGATGTCTTGTTTTCTCCAAAATAGCTTGTTCCTACCATCCAACCTTCTCTGCCTCATTTCTGTTGAGCTCTTTTTCTGTCATTAGTTGTCAGTTTGTCTTCTTCATTTTGGTTTCTGCTCCATTCATTGTGGCTTCTCTGCCACTGTTTCTGGAATCTTGGTATTTTTCTCTTTTAGAATGTTCTGCAGCATTTTCTGTAGAGTTGAATTGGTGGTTGCAAATTCCCCTACTTCCTCTTTATCCTGGAAGCACCTTGTTTCTCCATCAATTTCTAGGGACAGTTGTGCAGGATATATGAATCTTGGCTGGAGGTTATTGTCTTTCAAAGCTTGAATTATTTCACCCCACGCTCTTTGTGATTTGAAGGTTTGTGCTGAGAAGTCTGCTGTAATTCTGATGGGTGTTCCCTTTAAGTGATCTGTTTGTCTCTGACAGCTTTTAATATTCTGTTCTTATATTGGATTTCTGGAATTTTGATTATTATATGCCTGGGTGTAGTTCTGTTTGGGTTGTAGGTGGCTGGGGTCCTTTATGCCTCATAGATCTGAGTATCTTTACCTTTTCCCATATTAGGGTAGTTCTCCTTGATTATTTCTGACTAGCCTTTGCAGTTCATTCATTTGTATCCCTGCTTCTTCCTTTACATTCTTAAGTTATAGATCCTCTTATCATCTTCTGGCCTTTGTATTGTTACTGCTTATTTCCTTATTTTTAAGAAGGTTTTCCTTTCATGCTCCCACATTACAAATCTGTCCTCCAGTTCAGATAACCTACCCTTAGTTATTTTCAAGCTGTTATGCCACCTTTCAATAGAGTTTTTAGTTTCCTGGTAATCTCTTTGAACCTGCTTCATGTATTCTACATGTTCTCTATTTTCTCCATCAAACAATTCTTGCCTTTTTTTCTATTCTTCCATTCCACCACCTGTTTTTTCTTGGGAGGTCTTTAGCATTTCTTTAACTATTCTATTTATGTGTTGCTTTAGTTGATTAAATACTTTACTTTTGAACTCATCTATGAGGTCTCAGAGATATCACTTTATGTCTATTGGTGCCATGCCTGATATTGCATGTTTTCTGCTCTCATTCTCCTTTGCATTTTACCTTTCCTGGAACAGTGTTCTCAGACTGGGGACTGAGGACCTTTCTTGTTGCTCCCTCTTCCTATACTTTTTGTTCCTTTCATACAAGCATATATAGGAGGCTCAGTTTCTTTCTTTGTCAGTTAAAGTTTGTTCAAATCATGCCGGCTAGGTGTTCCCACCCACTGCAGCGTACTAGGGAGACACAGACCTGGGCAGCCTATGCTGGGCCCGCCCCTTCAGGTCAGTCAACCTGCTGAAGGCTTCACTGCATTAGGGTGCACCGCCAGGTGCAGGGACCTGGTTTGGGTAGCCTACTGGGTCTCAGTCTGTGGCATCACCCAGGTCAAGCATTCCCCACCAATCCTGCTTGAGAGGATAATATGTGACTGAAGTCACTGCAGCGTTCTGTTCTGGCTAGTCTGCCTGGTCCCAGAATGTCCTCTGTTGGAGCCTCCTAGTCTATGAAAGCGTCCCCATTCCTCTCCCTCACTGCAGGTCAATGCAGGGCTCCCTGCCAGCTCTGCTCTCAATTCGGTTCACTGATTTCCACTCTCAGAGCTTTCGCGTCTCTATCCTTGCTGTGACGATTCAGATGCAGCAGTGGCAGCAGGAAATTAAGCCGCGGTTTCCAGAGGCACGGGTTCTAGCTTTGGCATTGAAACTTTAGCTGTTCCAGTCATAGCACTGAGACTGCATTTCCAGTTGGTTTCTCTCAGCATAGTTTATCCCCCTGCTTAGGACTCCCCACACGGCACCATCCCTGGAATCTAAGCTGGCTGTCTCAGAGAGCCTCTGTAGCTGCTGGTATCTACCCGCCATGTTCTCCCAGAAGTCCCCCTCTCAACAGTGTACCACATAAAGATGGCAGTGGAAGAGAATTTGACCTATGTTTGTCATATTTAAGTCAGCTAAGATTTAGAATGAGTATTTGACAAGAATATTATAACCAAATGAATACTTCTGTGTTTCCCTGAAAATAAGACCTACCCCAAAAATAATCAGTCTTGAAAACTAGAGATCAAAGACTCTAGTCCCAGCACCTTGCCTTGAGGAATAATCTGCATGACAATGGCCATCATCATGGTAACAACTAGCTCTTAATTTCCAATTAGGCCTTACTTTTGAGGCCATATGGTTTTATGAACTGCCCTCATTAATAAACAGTTTTGACAACATTATTTTTAAATTACATCACCATTCCTAAGTGAGCATGCAGTGCAGCAAGGCAGCCTAGGAACTACAGGGACACTTTTTACTTCTGTAGACTCATGATGACCTCAAAGACAGTAACAAGAGAGGAAAAAAAATGTTCTGAAGACATAATAAACAGAAGGCACTGAGCACTTTTATAACACTGTAATAAAATATCCATTTATTTATTTGTATAAAAGTCTGAGGAAAAACAAAAGGCAAAATTAGATATAAAAAGTCTTAAGTGATAACTTTTTAAGTATAGTAATCAGCCTTCTCAGATACAGGGAAAAACTGATGAGAAGTCATGAGATTATATGAAAACACATGGATTCTCTTTCTGCCAACCCAGCAGTCTCTTGTCTGCCTGTTTTACAGACTGAATCATGGGGTCTTATGTTAACATAAATACTTCTCTTTTAAAACACCAGAATTCTTTCACTGCTATACCATGAAGTATTATCACAAATATATTAAAAACTATAGTTCATCAGAAATAAAGATTAAGAAAATATATTATGCCAAACTGAATTTTGTGTTTTTTTTGGACAGGGTCTCACTATGCAGTTTGGGCTTATTTTGAGCTTACTTTGTACCCCAGGCTGGTCTGGAACTCACAACGACCCTCCTGCCTCAGTCTCCTGAGTGCTGGGATTATAGGTATGAGTCATCATGCCAAGCTCCAAACTGAATTTTAATTTTCTAAATTGTTTTTATTCAATCACTTGCAAATTTTGAACATCTAGTCACCTGTAAAGTGCTTTCTAGTCATTAATCCAAATGAGTAAGGCAATAATTTAACTCAAAAGCAATTATTTTTTTTTAAATGGGATACATACCAGCAAAGCTTAGCATCAGCCAAACACTTCTGACATATCACAGGCAAAAGGCCAACTCTATAGTGATATGTAAAGGTAACTGTATGGATATTCCAATAAAGATTAGTCTTCAAATATTTAGTCCACTGGAATTAATTGACACATGAAAATCTAAATGACTTTGGGGTGAAGAGGAAGAGACAGTGAAAGTTAAACCTCCATCTAACTAGTGGACTATGAAAACTCTAGAAACAGCACTAAAAAGTCTACTGCATTCTGAAGAAAAATGACATACACTTGCAAAATTATTTTTCTGCCAAAGCTTCAGTAAATCTAAAATAACACTCCCTGCCTTACCAGTGATTTTACTGAGTAGTTCAAATTACTACAAAACCAGTGCTGAGAGCTAATAAATACTCATGGTGCCAGCTTATGCTCTGCTTTAACTTCAACTACAGCAATGATTTTTGGATGCCATTAATACTGTCCGCATACACAGATGCTCTCCTTTGGGTATATAGGAAGCTATATCATGATGATCAGATTGGTACAGGAGATTTGGACATTATAGAGAAGAGCTGCCAGCTAAATGGAAAGAATAAAAATGGAGAATGCTTTACTATGCATTCTTACAGACATAATCACTACTTCAAAGTAAATGAAAAATTTCAAAGAAAAAGGTAGCTCCTTTATCGAAGACAACTTGTAAATTCAGAATTCAAAATACGATTTTTTATAGTAGAATATACTATGTATCTATGTCCATCTTCTTATTGAATCCTTCATGAGACTTTTAAATTAGAGAATGATAAACAAGATTCAGATGCTAGATTCAGCAACACTATAGGAGGTGGCTTTTGGGTTTGCCACATAGGTTGAGCTTCTTAGTTGTGAGTAGCTGTGCCAGACCGTTGAGAAACACCAGAAAGATGGCCATGGACATGACAATCACATAGTGGCTGATGCTGCAAAAGGAGAAAACAAACATAAGATTTGCTAAATAATATTTCCATATGGGTATATGAAATATACAGAATCACAAAGACCACCAATGATTTCAAAATAGGTACCAAAATGTTATCTTAAAAGCCCAAATTTGTGGAGCGAGTCGTGGTGGTGCACACATGTCACCCCAGCACTTTGGATGCTGAGGCAGGAGGATCACCATAAATTCCAGGCCAGCCTGGGCTACAAAGTGAGTTTAAGACTAGCCTGAGCTACATAACGAGATGCTATCTTTTAAAAACTAAAAAACAATACAGCCTACCCTGCCAATATTTGTTGTATAGCAATATGAATACTAAATATATTTCCTTAGTAATATATTACTTAAAAATTAATAATGTATATTAGTTATATACTAATTTAAACCTCAGTAACATTATGCTGAAATAACATTTTGAGATATTTGCAATGACTGAATTATGTTATAAAAATCTGGTTTGTATTAGCAGTGCTTGTGGCTTTGTCACCAGTAAAAATTAAATTTCAAAAGCTTTTAGAAAAATAAGACAGTTTTCTCCTTCTGATTCTTGTATCCTTTGAACTCTATCCACATTTATCCAAGATGTCCCTAGGTTATGTATTCTGACATTTCAGAGTCTATGCTGAAGTATATTTGAAGTATTTTGACAAAACTACCAGCTAATTAGAAAAATGTTACCCAAACTCTAATTCATTGAAGTGAAATTTTGTTTAGTAGGATCTAAACAAAGGCAAAAAGAACGTATTTCTTTACTAATCTTACAATCAAAGTAACTGTCTCCCAGACTTTTGGAAACGGAATAATAATAAATACTATTAAAGTTACTGTTTTTACCTATTGGCAATAGTAAATGTTCAGATTTCTTTTTTAAACACAGTAAACTGTAGCATCTACATTGAGAATGGCTTCATGAAAAGCTTTCAGAAATACAGAAAGAAATGTAGGCTATGTGCTCACAAACATTCAGTAAAACAGAAGATTCATACAATATGTACAGTATGGCCCAAACTAAGATATAGCACATACATATTCTCAAGCTACCTATTTTCAATTTCTATCAGAATTAGATTTAATGTTTTAAATGGATGTCTATCTTCTAAAAGATGTCTGAAAGAACTTCTCTAAACAAATAAAATAAAATAAGCGGAATTTAGAAAAATAATGAAAGAACTTGGTAGGCAAACATACTAATAAATACAGTAAACAAGTTTTCCTCTTGAGTTTTCTAAACTATATTTGACTGATGAAGTAAAAATTATAACACTATCTGATGTGATATCAAATGCATGTTGAGGAAACAGTTAAGACAATTATATTGTGGGAGGGTAAAAGGATGTTAAATGACATAACTGGTCAAATGGTATCAGTCGACTGGGATCAGTTATGTGTATATAACATAATACCTAGAAAAACCACTTAAAAAGCCATACAAAAAGATACATTAAAACACTAGAGCTGAAAACAGAACTTCAGAAAATGTTCAAGTAACACATAGGAAGGTAGAAAACACAAAACAGAACAGGAAAAAAAACCCCAGCAGACTTAGGATTAAATATATCAATAATTATACTAAACACAGTCTAACTATATCAACTAAGTAAGAGATTAGTAGAGTCGGTTAAAAACATGATCAAACTATATATGCTATCTACAAAATACTTCAACTATAATGACAAGATACTTCAACAAGAAACTTCAACTATAAAAGATATAGGTAGACTAAAAGTAACAGGATAGAGAAGATATAGTTTGAGTGTCTCATCTGAAATGTTTGAGATCAGACTGCTTTGGATTTAAAAAAAATTTTTTTAAGAGAAGAATATATTTATTGAGAGAAAGAATGCTTCTGTCTGAGAGACAGAAGGAGTCCCCTGAGTAGGTTGCCAAAGGGGAAAAATGGGAGCTCGCAAGGTGAGCATGAAGTGGGACAGAACTATGGTCAACCAATAAGATTATGAGTGTAATTGCTCAGGTAAAATTAATTTAATCAGGATCAAATGGGAAGGCAAGTCATGTAGCAAATGGGAAGAAGGTCTTTGCTTATAGGGGGTTGGATTAGTGGTTTATTCTGGCTTCCTCCAGGTGATTGATACCTATTTAGGATATCAATCCCTGCTGTTTATCCTTGGGGTGTGGTTACTTTTGTTTTGAGATCTGATCCACAGAAGGAAGCTTTTATTTTCCCTCATAGATGCAAGGTATCTGGTCTTCTGCACTGGCTCCTTAGAGGGCTACCCCTGTCTGACGGCCTATAATATTGCTTTGGATTTTTGAATGTTTGTATATATGTAATGAAATACCTTGGGGACAGGACCAAAGCCTAAATATAAAATTATTTTATGTTTCATATACACCATACATACATAATAGATTTTTGGATTAGAATGCTCAACCTGTATATCACACAAACATTAAGTAAAAGAAGTATCAGATAAAACAGAACTCATAGCAAAGATAATATTTTGTCAACAACCAAAAGCAGACCTCACTGAAATAAGGAAGGATAAAGAAGAATTCAACAATCCTATCAGCAACAGGGATATCACTGACAATTATAGAATACTTGACCACTGATAGCAGAGTTTACGTTCTTTCCAAGTGCTAAGGCTTATTAAGATATACCATATTCTAGGTTACAAGGCAAAATTCTTTAAGAATTAAAAAACTGAATCATATAGATTTCAAAAGAATCAAACTAGAAATTACTAACAGATAATAAGAAAATCTTCAAACACTTATCAATTGAACAAATCTGTAAATAATGCAGGGGCCACAGATGCAGTTTTATAAGAAATTTTAAACAGAAGGAAGTGAAATTCAAGTACATCAAAGTTTGTAGAATACAGCAAAAGCAGTGCTGAGAAATAGAACCATGCAAATATATGTGCCTTCCCCCCAAAAGAGTCTAAATTATGTATCTGACATGACCACACATTGACATGACTACACATTTATCTCACATTTCATACAAAAACAAAAACAGACTATAATGGATCATAGACTTAAATGTAAAAAGCATAAACATTTTAGAAACAAATAAAGTCAGGAGAAACTCTCAGAGTTCTGAGACTGAAAGCAAAAGCATAATTTCAAAAAGGAAAAACTGATAAACTGGACTTTCATCTAGAGAAGTTGAAAGGCTAAAATAAAGTATGCAGAAAAACTGTTCTCTAGTATAGCCATTCTGGAAGAGTTTGGCAGAGTGAAAAGAGTGAATTCCAAAAGAATACTATATAATTCCATTTATATAACGCTTATGAAATAACAAAATTATAGAAATGAAAAACAAATTAATGGTTCCCAGAGGCTAAGGAAGATGTAGGGGGTGGGGTGAGAGGGAAGTAGGTGTGGCTATGAAAGGGCAACATGAAAGGTTTTTGTGTTGATGGGAATTTTCTATATCTTGACAACATCAATGTTAAAATCCTGATTGTACTGTAGTTTTGCGCAAAATTACACTGGGGGAAATTGGGTAAAGAAGACAAAGAATTCCTCTCTATTATTTTGTTATAACCTCATGTAAATCAATAATTATCTCAAAACAAACATTTGTTTCTTTTTTAAATTTACAGGTCATAGAAAATAGAAGGTGGGTGAGTTTGGACTGAATAGCCACAGACTGTTGACCTCTACACCAAACTATAAGCCTTATGGAAGTAGCACGACCTTTATCTCTTTGTCCACTGCATGTCTAAGGGTCCATGCAAGCCTTATGGAATTTTGAGACAGGTTCTGCAGTTCAGGCTGGCCTTGACCTCACTGTGTAGCTCAGGCTTATCTTGAACTTGCAACAATCCTCCTGCCTCAGCCTCCTGAGTGCCAACACCCTACTTGTTAAATGAATTATTAAAGAGTAATTTGTAATTTAAACATGTAAGATCTGAATCTGAGTCTTTTGTGCCTGGCTTTTCTTACCACATTTTCAGATTCATCCATTTGTGTATTCCAGGAGTTCGTGTCTTATTATTGCCAGAGTCCTCTGCTGTGAATATACCACAGTTTATTCCTTTAGCTCTTGGAAAGCGTTAGGCCTTTTCATTTTTGGTTATGGTAAATAATACTGCTATGAAAATCCCTGTAAAAGTATCTTTGTGGAGGTATATTTTCCTTGCTCTTGGAATGTTGCTGAGCATAGCCTGAGTATATGCTTAGTTTTTCTCAAGGCAGACATACTTCTTTTCCCACCCAATGGTGCATCAGTTCTGTTCGCTCCATGTTCACACGAACATCTGGTGTCACCAGGTTTCTTAATTGCCACCAGTGCAATGGGCGGGTAAAACCATGTTTTATTGTGGTTTTAATTTGATTTCTCTGTTAATTAAACGTGTCCAGCATTTTTTCATGTGCTTCTTGCATGCCATTAGTCATAAGATACATTCTTATTTCAGAATAAAATTGCGAATAAACAAGTGAATTCTACAAAGACAGTGAGGAACCATAAGCTCCAGAAGTGAACCCTATTTCAATTCTTGGTCCCGGTCCTAGCTCAGGTGTTGCTAAGTAGTGCTGGCTGGCAATGAACTCATGGTTATACTGCTGCCTCAGCTTAAGTGTTGAGATTACCCCTGCTCTTTTAGTTTTACATAGAGACCAGACCTCCCTAAATTGTCCAAGCTGGGCTTAACTTTGTGACTCTCCTGTCCTGGATACCCAAGTAGTTGTAATTACAGGAGTGTATCATTATGCCTGACATGAGGCCCTGGGTTGATCCCTTCCCCTGCAAAAAAAAAAAAATAAATAAAAGAACAAAAACAAACAAACAACCCTGTAAGACTTTCTTTTGTTTTATATTACCTCAGCAGATTTAACCTAGACTTAAATCAGACTTCTTTAAAATAATAGTCAAAAACATAATCAAAATTAAGTGCTTCAAAAAAGCTTAAAAAGTTATTTCTCCACTTTTCCATAACAAAAGGAGTCATAGAAATGATATAAAGTTACCCCTACAAGATATTAAAACACAAAGTGAAATATATTGTT